GTCAATACCTTTATTTTATTTTTTAAAAATCATTTTATTAGGAGCTCATATAACTCTTATCACAATCCATACTTACATCAATTGTGTAAAGCACATTTGTACATTCATTGCCCTCATCATTCTCAAAACATTTGCTCTCCACTTAAGCCAATACCTTTATTTTTATGGATTAATGTATTTACATATATACACATCTATGCTTATACCTCTATCCATAGCTTTGCTTCCTAGATCACTCCTTTGTTTCCTTTTACCTTCCTTCTTCCTGCCTCACCATCATGCTCACCCTGCTTCCCCCTTAGTACTTCCTCTCAGCTAGATTGCTGTTGCTCCAACACCCCCAGCATCTCTAAGTCCTCCTTGTTGATTTTAATTCCCTAGTTGTTCCCCTGTGTGTGGCATTGTTTGCTCACCACTTCCTTCACCTGCCTCCTTCTCCTCTAAGTCCCTCCAAAACCATCGGTTCCGTTGCTTTCTCCCCAAGCTTGCTTCCCATGCCTACCTTATATAAGTATGAAAACCAACAATAACATAGGCCAAAAACGAAAACACAAGATTGGAAAGAAAAAAAAAAAAAAGAGGAAAAACATACATTAGTACTAGGGGAATTTCGGGAGCTGTCCCTCCTAGCCTGAAGTCTATTTGGGGCACTCTTTAGGGGCTTTGTGGCTTTGCTTTACTCTGGCTGGTTTCCCTGCTGCGGGGTGGGGTGGGGGTTGGGGGTTCAGATCACATGACCTCCCCAGTATTGTCCTCTGTCACAGTGTGCTCCAGTAAGGTGGCAGCTCTACACGCCTGTCTGTGAGTTAGCAGCTCTGTGCACGGATGTCGTCCTTTGAGCTCGGTGTGTCAATATGGGGTCTAGACTTGCCCTTTCTCTTTTTCCTTCTTGGTTTGCTTCCATGTGGGCGTGGTGTGCCGGCTCCTCTCCCCAACCTGTAGGTTTAGTGTTGTTCTCTGTCACATCCTTCTAGGAAAGCGGTCAGTTTGGCTCTGGTTGGGGCCTAAATAACGTACTTCTTAAACTGGTTATTTAAGAGTATGATGTTTGATTTCACTTACTTGTGTATGATCCAAATTTCCCGCCCCCCCCCCCCCATTTCTTGTTACTGATTCCAAGTTTAATTCCATTGTGGTTGGATAACACAATGTGTTTGATGATAATCTTTTCAAATCTACTGAGACTCATTCTATGGCCTGGCAGATGGATCTGTTCTGGAGGATGTTTCATGTGCAATTAACAAGGAATTGTATTTCGATGTTATTAGTTCAAGTATTCTAGAGATGTCTTTTCATAGCAAAACACTTTAATAAAATTTATTATAAGTATGTCGTTAGTTTAGATAATATATTCTTTAAAAAACAAGAAAACCTGATAATATAGCTAAAAATGTTTCTTAAGTACTATCAAGGAAATGTTATACAAATATAGTATGTGTGTAACATGTACATGCGCACACACATACTTTTTAAACTGCATGTTCTTGTTCTTCATAAAAGCCCTGGTAGTATGTATAGTGGTTAAAACTTTCAGCTGCTAACCTACCAGCCATTCCATAGGAGAAAGATATAGTAGGCTTACAGATTACAGCCTTAGAAACACTATGGCCTAATTCTACTGTGTCAGTTACATAACCTCCCATTGACTTGTGAAGGGGTGGAGTCTAGCCTGTCAATCAGGTCATAACCAATGAGGCCTCTGTGTGGGCATGGCCTTCTGAGGATTCTGGGAACTCCTATCTCCCTCCTTGGAGGCGGGACACACATTCTCCTTGTAAGACATTCCTGTTGCTCATGGAATTGCTCATTCATGGAACTATGCTGATGGAGCTGGAGGAGTCACATAGAGACCCACGCCAATGCTGACATGCTTCCACTACAACTAGATCAACAAGACTTTTCACCCACTGGCCTGTGAACTTCCTGCATTCAGCGTCATTGCCTGTGTTCCGTGAGTCTGAAGAGGAATTTGTAGACTGGTATAGGACATATGGGCTAATATCGGACTTATAGACTTGATCTGGACTGGGCTGGGATGTTTTCTCAATATATAATTGCTCTTTTATATAAAGCTCTTTCTTATACACATATAAGTGTCTATGAATTTGTTTCTCTAGTCAACCCGGACTAACGCATCTACTCTGTCCTATATGGCTGCTTTGACTGGAATAAATTCTATATGGCACTATTCAATTTATTCATCCTTCACTCTTTCTGTTTTAATCACAATCAACCCATGACTTTAATGTGTGAAAGTTTGCATATCGGGCACTGGAACTCCCACAAAGCTTGAGAGTCCCATCTTTGTGGGACTTGAGACCTTACTTGCTGTCTAAAGACATTAAAACTTAGCGTCACAAAACTTTGATTTTTTCCTGAAAGCTGCTCCTCTTCTAGTTTCCCACATTTCAGCTCATGGCAATTCTAATAGCCGCTCAAGCCAAACTCCAGGAGTTATCTCCTCGCCCTGGTAGAACGACTACCTATTTGATCTATGCACTGGCTCTGTATGAGCACAATTAAGTGTTCTGGAATTCTGACTTCTCATAGTGTTATCCATAATTTTTAACAATCCACACAGTTTAAAGCTTTATATAATTGCTAAAAATACAAATAAACAGGAAGAGCTTTTAGTTAAGAACCACCTGATTATCAGCAATAACATTCCTCATTCTCTTTGGAATTTTGCTTAAACTTTGGGCAGTTCCCAAGGTGGCAGTTGTTTTCAAATTATTTTCAGCAAAGTTTTGCAAATAGTTGCTATTAATGATATTGTGTGATAAAGTCCACATTCCATTTGATTGCTATTTTTTAGAATGGGCACAAATATGAACTCTTTTAGTTGGTTGGCCAGTTAGCTGATTTACTCACTTTTACCCAAATATAAGTTTCATGGGAATAGTAACCTTACATCTTGTTCATCACTGTTTGTCCAGGACCTAGCACAGTAGTAAACAGCAATGCTATAAAAAAGGTTCTAATTAAACACACACACACAAAACACAGTAGTAAACAGCAATGCTATAAAAAAGATCCTAATTAAACACACACACACACACACACACACACACACACACCCTCTACCATATCCTAACCCTAAGAACAAACACTTTTTAGCTTTGAAAGACTTTTTTAATTGGGTCGAGGGTTCTTGCTTAGATTTTATAAATATTATATTCTATAATTTTATACCAGGTTTCAACCCCTATATGCTCAATGAAGAAAAAAAAATTAATCCTTCAAAGCTAAAAGAGTGAGCAGATGCCCTAACTAGGAACTGTACCTTACTTGCTTACCACTATACCCTGGCACCCAGAATAGGGTCTAGCACATAATAATCATGCAATAGTGACTGAGTAGCAGGTCAGGACAGTTGGGAGAGACTGGAAATGTTCTGGATGTTGGGTTGGTGGGTGGGAGAGAAGCATAGTGTCAACCTCCCCACTCCTGTCGCTGCATCCCACACCCCCATTTTGTAGGTTCTCAGAGCGCTCTTGAAGCTATCTTGATAAAAATTGAATTTCTTGAGGGCAGAGAATAGGCCTTCTTAAAATTATTATTCCTCATAGGTCTAGAACTGGCAGACAGGTGTTCAATGATAATTAAACAAAATGCTAAAGTATCAGTTTCTTCATTTATAAAGGATTATGAAATTATTTACTTTATGTATGGATGGATTGGGATAAGTGCTGTATAAGCCCCCAATAAAATTATTTAAAAAGAAAAAAATACAGAAAATGTTGAAAACCAAAAAATAAAAAACAAAAAAGAGGAAAAAAAATATTAAAGAGGAAAAAAAAGAAGTATCTACTTTATATGGCTATTGTTAGAGAAAAAAGACTAAGTGATAGGTGTAAGAGCAAAAACACCCCAGAACGTCTTCTTTCTTCGCTACTGAAATAGAAAAGTAAGCTGCTGAGGAGATTCCAATTCATAGTGACCCTATAGGGCAGAGCGGAAAATAACCCAGAGGGTGGCCTTGCAGTCTTTTGAAAGCAGACTATCCACATGTTTTCCTTGTTGAGCTGCTAGTGATTTGGAACTGCCAGTCTTTGGGTTAGTAGCCAAGCACTTGACCCACTGCACCACCAGGCCTCCTAGAAAAGTCGACTTGATCAAACTATTTCTCCTAGGAACTACCACTATTTCTCACACACCTCAATTCTAATTAAATATCCTAAGTCATTTCAGCACCAGATGATTAAAAACAAGTCAGTGTAATGATTTATAAATAGAAAAACACAACCTGAGTACAAGAACATTCTGAAGCCAAATGTTGGGAAAGAATACTAAGGGGAATTTGACAGTACAGACACTTTGCGGAATATAACAGTAAAGCGCCCTGAATGTTCTAGAGTTTTTGAATGAAAAGAGTACTATTCCAGTAGCCCACAGCTCCATGTTCCTTCCTTCACATGCTTAGAAACTAAGTCCTAAGAAATTATCATCTGAATTGAAATTATTATTGCTTTAATATCTAAAAATTAGCCACCCAAATATGCAAAGTATGTTTTAGCTGCCAAAACGATAACAAGAAAGAATATAACATAAAACATCCACCAAGCATTTAATAAGCTTTTCTTTAAACAAATTATTATACTTTTTAATAAAACATAATATAAATTTAAACTAGTTATGATCACTTTAATGTCAAATGGTTTGCATCTCAAATATAAAATACATGCTATTGTAACCAAGTATTTATCAAGCATCTAAAACCTTTTAAGTCAAGGCATAAAGATTTATCAGGGCATGAAAATAAGCCTCTACGATAATTGTTTAAGTGATCTTTTCAGTAAAGGCTTGTGAAATTTTTAAACATTTGATTATTTTAGATTGTGATTTTTTTATTGATGAGTTATAGGAAAGTGTCTACATAGGGTTTATATACAATTCATTAAAATTGGGTTATATTTAAAATCTATATTTACTTAATAATAATATATACAACAGTAAAAATCTTGTTACAGAAGAACTTTAAAATGCTTTATTTTACTTACCAAGATGCAGTCCACTTTAGATTGCACAGTTTTGCTAGAAGAAAAAACAAGTTAGGTTAATAATAATGATAAAGCATACTGAAATACTTAGGAAGTATTCTTAGATATCTTTTTCTAGCATGGAAGAACGGAAAACTAGTTAAGTAAAACGTTTAAAGATTCAGAATTGCGTTGTACATTGTATCTTTCATAAAGCAAAACAGAAATCTACTTCGCATTCACTATACTAAGTTAAATCCTAATATACATTCTAAGTATTTTCTGACTTAACTCCATTGGTTAGCCCACTATGGTTGTACTATATTATTACAAATGATGAACAAACAACTATAAGTTTTTAGCAATATGTAAATGATGATGTATTATACTTAGAAATAGAATAGAGTTTACAATGAATTATAATTTGTACTGTCTGCTTGTCATTCTGGATGATGATTTGCTTAACAGTTAAAAGCCATCGCAACTCGCTGCCATTGAGTAGGTTCCACAATAGGTCTTAAGACTTGATATATTTTCCTCAACCTCCCCCAGTAACAAGAATCTTTAGACATAAAGTAATAAAGATAACTAATATTAAGATACTTGGTAATAAATTATAGAGTGGAACAGAAATAAATAATAAAAGCCTCGAAAACACAGAGTTCTAAATAACACTAACTTTTTTATGTAAGTGAACTGGGAACATATAGCATAAATGATGCCAGTATATAAAGTAATTTAACTGAAAGTCACTTGGATATTTTTATACACACATGAAAGGTGCAAGCGCAATGAAATGCAAAATATTCAAACATAGCTTACAGACATAGTTTTAAAGATTTTACAAATCAAGTATCTTCCTAAAAAGATCCTAAGGACCAATAAATATAAGCAAAAGGTGGCTATTTGCCATTTCATGGCTACACAACTAAGCTACAGACAAAGCAAAAGGCAATATTTAAATCTCATTTAATATAATTATCAACTGCAAAAATGTACCCCTGCCTCTAGATTTCAAATTTTGTTTTAAATAACAACAGATGACTGGAATAAGTTCGATTGCAAAGTTCAGAATGACTAAGACAATCAAGAAAGGCACTCTAAGGTATAAAAGATACCTATAGGTAAAACTCACTGCTCCTGGGTTAATGCTGACTCCGGGGACTAAAATGACCTTCTCAAAATACCAGATTATCAAAGGGTTAAAATCTCCTTTTGTGGTCAGCTGCACAGCTTATCAATGGTAGCAATGTGTGCTATTCCTCTTCCCTCAATTCCCTGAGATGAGTGTGCTCTTACTCTGCTGCCAAAAGGTAATACACCTATCTCCAGAATCTAACCATTTTCTACCACCTTGGGCTAAACCACAGCCAACCCCTGCTTCAATCTTTACTTTCCATCCACTGCCAAGCTCACCACAAAAGAGCCAGAATAACCTTTTTAGAAGGTAGGTAGAGCCTTATCCAGGACCCTGATAACTTTTTGAGTTCCATCACCCACTTGACTACTTTTCATCCATCAGCTCCTGCCACACTGGCTTCTATGCTTTGTTCAAAGCAGCAACAAGGCCTTTGCGCTGGTTTTCCCAACAACATCCAGCTCTTCATATAGCTTGTTCCAACATTTCCTTTATGGTTTTGTTCAGCTTACCTTTATAGCCATTTCTTCCCTGACTCCCTCATATAGAACAATCACAATTACTCTTTATTGCTCTTACTATTTACATTTTTCATCATTGGGCTTACCACCAATCATATATACCTTTATTAATTTGTTTACTAGCTATCTTCCTTGACTACAATTTAAACTCCATGAGAGGTTTTGTCTGTTTAGTTTTGCTCATTGCTGCATTACCATCTGGTACATAAAATCTGTTGAATGAATAAATAAAAAATATATTCAATCCTTTTCCAAAGAAGAAAATTCTTTGGAAAGACTGGGGCCACTTACTATAGGGTTTTCATAGAAATTAACTGAAAGCAGAAATGTTATTTTACATATTACTGCTGTTGCTGTTAGGTGCCATCAGTTGGTTTTAATTCATAGACACCTTAAGCACAACAGAATGAAATACTGTCTGGGCCTGCATCAAGTTCATAATTGTTGCTATGGACGAACCCACTGTTGCAACCCTTGTCAGCCATCTCAATATACTCCTCTTCTACCAGCAACCGAATGGATGTGATACAGAAAGTGGACAATAGTGTCTGTCACAACCAACAATTTATGCAAAATTAAAAAGTCAAAGAATTTCTAGTTAGATAGGAAACAAATTATTTAACTAAATCTTTTAATTTTAATTGATACTTAATAAAATAGAATGATATAAATGAAGTTTGACTCCTTTGTTTTGCCCGTTCTCATTTTCCTCCTGTTGCAGCAAAGAAAACCACCATCATTAATGTACAACCATCTCCATCGATTATTTTAGTACTTTTATTAAATATGCAACTATCTATAAGCAACATACATAATTGCTCTGCGGGGTTTAGAAATATTTATATAAATATCATTACACTGTATATATTCTGCAATGTTTTCACTCAATATTATTTTTGAGATCCAGCCATGAAGATACACTTAGATGAAGTTCATTTCACTGTGTTTTGCAGAATGAATATATCAAATGTATTCATGTACTCCTCTATTGAAAGATAATTATTATGTAGTTTCCAGTATTTCCACAAACAATGCTGAAAAAATGTCTTCATATATATTTATTGTTATATACACAATAACTTATCAGTTTTTGCCCTTCTGTTTCCCTTTGCCAGGGATACCCTTCACAAATGTTATCTGCAGCTATCAATAGAAATGCCCCACCAAGTTTCATAGGCTGTAAGTCTTTATGAAGCAGATTTCAGGTCTTTTCCCCAATAGAGCTGCTGGTGGATTTGAACTTCTGACCTTACAGTTAGCAGTGAAGGGCTTAACAAGTGCCAACACCAAGGCTCTTTCTAGTTACAGCAACAGTAGCAAATTCTATGAATACTGAAAGGTTGAGAACAGTGTAAATAAGGAAAAGAAATCATCTCAGATCCCTCCATTCAGGCATTTTGATTCATTTACCATTTCTTAAAAATAACTGGGATTAAAAAATGATAACTGGAAACTGCTGCAAGATGTAGAGAAAAATGGAAACATTTGTCCAATCCTGATGAAAACTTACTAGTGTAGAAAACCATTTAGCAGTTCTTAAAAAATTTAATCATAAAACAACCATATAATCTATCAATTCCACTACTAAGTGTATATTCAAATAAATGGAAAACAGATATTCAAAAACACAAACATTTAGAGCAACATTACTCAGAAATAGTAAAAAAGTAAAAACAGCCAATGTATTATCAACTAATAAAAGGATTATTAAAAACAGTTATGTCTATAGTGTACCATATTATTCAATCCTACAAAGGAACAAAGTCCTGCTACATGCTACTATATGACGAAGCTCTAAAGCATTATGCTAAGTGAAGGAAGCAAGACACGGAAGGCCACATAGTAGGATTTGATCCATATGTATGAAATATCCCAAACCGGAAACCGCATAGGGATAGAAAGCAAACTGTGGGAGCCAGTAGCTGGGGGTCGGGAATTAGGAATGAAGTGATTGCTTAACGAGTACTGGGTGGTTTCCTTTTAGGGTGACAAAATGTTTTCAAAGTAGATAAAGGTGATGGTTACACAACTGTAAATGTACTAAATGCCACTTAATTGCATACCTTAACTGGTTAATTTTGTTATATCAACCTTAGCTGAATAAAAATACAATTATTCAGATCATCAAACTTTATGAAAAACTTCATTTGGACACTATTTGTACCTAAATAATCCACAGTACCAATTTTTGTTTTCTTAAGCTCAAAATGCTTTTAAAACGTACTGTGGAAAGTTTTTTGCCTGATCTATTAAGCTTTAAGGAATCTGCTTTGGAAAGAATGTAACCTACATGCTAAAGTTTCTCAATGGAGAAGTGACATAGTAGATGGCACTGTTCTTTATTGTACATACTGCACTATGGGCTGTTTGGCATCACTAGATGCTGCCCACTAAATGCCAGGAGTATTTCTTAGGAATTCTGATAATCAAAGAATGCCTGACATATTCCCATATGTACCTAACTGAGAGTCACTGCTCTAGACTATAGAAAACAAAGCAATTTCATGTTATGTCCTGAGAGATACAGTAAGACTACGAATTAATATAAGGAACAGAATGCCCCACAAATTTGCCATTTCAAAATTTCTTTTTAGGTGTGAAAAGTGAACTTCATGCTCTTCACTAAGGAGGTTATCAATGCTTGTTAACGCCACTATAAAACTCATTTATTATTATTACCCCGAGCATAAAAGCCAATTTGAAGCAAAACAGTTAATTTTATCCTTTCGCTTCCCTGAAACATATTACATACACTCCTCCAGTGCTTTTTTTGAAAATTAACAGATGATTTATATAAAAATCATAACAAAAAGCATGTAACAGGTTCATTCTACATGTAAAGAAAATAAGGATCACAAGGGTGAAATGACTTTTACCAGGACATATAGTGATACTTATTTGACCCTAATATCCAGTAAAAATGCTAAAAGAACTTATAATCTGACCTCTATTTTATATTGGGATTTTAATTAAGAACATTTATGCTCCAGTCTCACCATTTGGAACTCCTTTTCCTCATAAAAGTACTAGGTACTGCCAGTAAGTCAGGTGGGTGAAGGTTTTGGCTAGTACTCAGCTCCCTTATGTACTTTTTGCTGATCTGCAATGCCCCCTAGTGCTGATTCTTCAGAGGCAGCCTTGGGTTCCAAAGACAGACACGTTTGCCTGGAACACCACACACGTAACTATCATCAAAGGGAATGCAATGCATGCACAAGGTAGGGGCTGCACAGGGAGCCCCGTCTCTACGGGTGACTTTTCTTCGAGAGATGAGATTTTTGAGAGGTTTTACTTCCTTTTAAACCTTAAAAAGCTCTTTATATAATATTGTATTGAATGTTTTAAACAAAAATGAGTAACTTAAAAACAAACAAAAACATGGGACAAGAGATTCAG